CCAACATCAGATGTCTCTATCAGAGGTATATTCATAAAGAAATAATGTCAACCGTATGGCTATGAAATTATTACATCGTGATAGCTTAAACTATACTTGCATTCTTTTACTTTGTCCATTACTTCTTGGTTAAATATCAAAAGTTAAATGTCAAATATCAAAAGTTTGATAAGAATTGAAGGAGAAATTTTAAACGATCATTGAACAGAACTGTCATATGGCATCCATTTTATCAACTTGAATTTTCATAGGTTATTTTAATTCATTATGATAGTAATCTATTTATATGGTCATTTTTGTCTCATCGATTACCACAGTCCTACACCTGTAATGTTCCTACCATGAATTAATTTCCAATATTTAGCAAATTTTGACCAGATATATGTGAACTCTATTGACATTTAAATCAAAAAAAAAAAATATTACTCAGTTGATTAAAAATAACCATCCAGTACTGCAGTTTAAGATAACCATCCAGTCCTGCAGTTTAAGATAACCATCCAGTCCTGCAGTTTAGATAACCATCCAGTCCTGCAGTTTAAGATAACCATCCAGTCCTGCAGTTTAGATAACTATCCAGTCCTGCAGCTTAGATAACTATCCAGTCCTGCAGTTTAAGATTCTTGTTATACTTTAATTTATCAAAGATTATATTGATCAATAAGAAATGTTGGCAAAAAAATTAGTAAATTTAATTGAATGCTTTCATGCCTTATAATTCATAATCATTTTTGTATTCTTTCAAAATGCAAAAGCTTTCCAATAATGAATGTTTTCTGAAAACTTGAATTCTTCGCAAAATTTGCATATTAAATTATCGTTATTCTTCATATGTGTAATCTCTATAATTCTGCTTTGACTCTTACTTTTTTCTCGCTTATTATTCATTTGCCAATGATGTTGACTGAAATGTTAACACTTTTTCATTATTTATACAATAAAACTTATATTCGAAATCAACCGATACTATCATTCTTGAACACAATTCATCTTTGGTCTCATGTTTTAATTTTTGCTACTATTACCAAGCAGGCAACAATTTTTTTTTCCCATTTCTGCTAATTGTAAGGATTTTAATAGGATTAATATATAACAATTGAAAATAAAATACACACTGTACAACAATGATAATAAATATGCAGGTAACATCATGAAATGCGTATAAGAATGAGATCGCCGACAAACAAATATTTTGATATATTTTTTTTTACAGTAATTTGTTTTTTTCGCATAATTGGCGCCCACTTCGGGGAGTAAATGCACTTGTACGTCGTACCAAATTCCTGCAAAATTACATTTTTGATAAGATCAGTATTAGTCAAATCAGGTTGTAGTATGAAACTGACAAAATTTCCAATTTTCAAACAAAATTTGTTTTTCTGGAAGATATAAGAATTCTAAAATATTTCGTCGAATCATTCTTTTTCATGTCTATTATTCTCTTACTCCAGAGCTACAGCCAAACAAGACCAAAAACATTGAGAAATAAGTTAAGCAATAGGCTTTTGACTGTTTTACACTTATTTGCTAATTATAAATGTTTTCCAAAAAATAAACTGTTATTCCTTCAAATACTTCCTTCTTGTACTGGTAATGCTTAACAAAAATGTTTAATGTTAACAATTTTTAGTAAAGAAATTTTTTTTTCAACCTGCGATTGAGAATGTTCAACGAATTTATTTGAGGGAAGACAAGCGGTGAATCAAATGGTTTCGCAAAATCGTATAATCCTTCGTTGAGATCCTTCAAATGTGATGCGTAAGAATCGATATTTGTACATTCCTCGTTTCCCTCCGGTTACGGAAAATATTCGATTCGATTCCACTCCCGCA